GCCGATCGTAGGTGGTGCCGAACAGGGAGGAAACGTGGTCTTTGTCCTCGGGGACCGGTGAACCGACGCGTATCCAACGGCTGCGGCGGCGCCCCGGCAATTAGGGATCCTGGCCCGCGGTGAGGATTTCGAGAATATTTGTGTGGGGAGTTCGTCGAATCGACGGGTGCCATCGCCGCCTAGGAATTTCGTGGGTGGGTACCGCAACTGCTGTGAACGCGGTTGCCCTACGGCTGCTTCCTTGTATACGGTAAATTGAGGAGAGAGGCGATCCTTTTTTAGTTAAGACGCAATAACTTTTGTGGTTTTGTACTATTTAATAAGACGTTTTTTTACTGCAACAATACATACTATTATACACTCTTTTGCTTTGTTTGATCGAGTCAAAAGAATTATTCATTTCATAACAACGTTACAGAACCTCATTCCAAGGTCTTTTTCGTTTTTTCTAATTACTGCTCGTTCCTTCCAGCTTATCTACTATCGATTAACCCCCGTACCACGCGTATAATGCCCACTTTTCGGAACCATCGCGATCGTTGGCAACGCCCGCGTTTACGTCAGCAGCCGCTAATTCCTCGGCCGGTATATATAAATTTCTTCTTTACGAAATTGCCGGGTTCCCCCCCCCCCCCCGGGGGGCGAGTGGGTGCCCCGTGTAATGAGGGCAAAATCGGGATCCCATGGCCGTAGTCTCGTTTAATGTTTCGTAAACTAGATACGCCTTCGTTCATGGAATCGGTCCGGGGCAAATTCGGTGGGCCCCGAGCCGCGTAAAACGCGCGCGGGTGGATGATTACATGATTGCCTGGCGATTATGGGAAATTTTCGAAAAGTCGACGGGATCCCATGTAGGCCTCTTGTACCCTTTCGACACACGCCGGTAATTGGTTCGTACCGAGTTAATCGAGGGGACCATTATCGGAAATCCTGGAAAGCTGACGCGACCGCGATTAACAGGGCAGAGGACCTCGCTCGACTCGTCTTTGATCGCACCGACGCTGTTCCACCGTCCTAGGGCTCGGTTTTATTGATCAAGGCTGAAGAACGTTCTTCCAGGAATAACAGAAAAATTGTACGCACCTTTCAATGCCGTTTCATTTATACACACCCGCAGTATTAATAGTGGACTTTCGTTTGTACAATCTTTGTGATTTTATCGATGCTATTGGACACGTGAATTTAATTAGTAAAGGATGTAACGGGTTCATCTGTGATTCTGGAGCTTGAAAATAGGCGTTCGTAAGGGGAACACGTCATCGAGGGGGAAATAAAATTCTCAGAGAACTTATTTTTAACTACTCCTTTGAGATTCTTGATGAAGCCAATTACATCACGTTATTGTAATAGCTTGGCGCTTTAACATAACGGTAAAGAAAAGAAAAAATAGCAGTGGAAATGCTTAAAAATTAAAGAGATTCGTAGAACTTGTTTCGAAGTGACTAGTTTATCATCGATTCCATGTCTAACCATGCTTTCGGAATTTCTAATTGACATCGATTATGCTGTAACATTCTAGGACCTTTCACATTTAAAATGAGGGTAAATAGAGAGAAAACCACCAGCGAGAACGATTAAGCTTTAAGAGAGTTCACAGACACGTCTATTTGGGGGTGCCATTTTATCCTCAATTACATGTTTCACTATTTCATCCAATATTTCTGATTAAACCTCATTACCAGACTGCGGATTTTTATGCCAAATGACATTTTTTAAAGTAATTTTCGAAGACAACAGCAATGGTAGAAATATCTTTCATCTTTTAAATATCTTATTAGGTTTAGAATAAAGTAAAACCACATTGCATCTGGCGAAAGTTTTTTCCCTATTCTATTACACAAAGCACTATTAGCTATAAATGCATAAAATCCGCAGTCCACTCATTACGGTATGAAATTGTACGGTACACCACCTTTCACAGTGTGGGTAATTAATAATGTTTCCAAAGACATGCTCGGATAGTACAAATAAGCCACGTGATTTATTAACGTAAATTTTATTGTTTAAATTAGACGTGACAGTATTATGTCGTATCTACAGGAAAAGTACAAAGTTATAAGTTATGCTATATGTATATCATATATATTATAATACGATAATAATCGTATGAGATAGCGAAGAAGGTTTCTTCCTTCAGCGTTTCTTTTCACGAGTTCGATGGGATGAAATCCCGGGGGCGTGGAGTAATCGGGAGTGATTCGTAGCTTCGAAACGGGGTGGAGGGGGTGCTCGGGGATCGAAAGGGTACAGGAGTGATTGGGAGACGTTCTCTCTGTGGTGGATGGTTGGGTGAAGGGGGTCTGGACACGTAAAATATAAAAATAAATGTGAATCGCCGAAAGCAGCCACGATAGAAGGCACGACAAATTGCTACACCGAAGCAGATGCCCGCTCGCTCACAACGTCCTTCTGACAAGACGCTCGTATCAGGTTTTACTTTTTTCTTTTTCATCGTCGTTTCACACCTTGGTTTCTCGATCCGTCAGTTGATTCGGAGTATAGATGGACGAAAAGGAAAAATGATCGATAAGGCAGTGGGTGCGCGCACGGCTCGACGATGATCGTGATCGTGCAAACGAACGAAATTACTTTCGCGGTGCGCGTGAAGCAGGAATAATTTCGTTCTTTCATTGCGAAAGTAGCGTGAGAAACGATCGTCGAGTGGCGAAGAGGGATTTACCGACTATCGATTAGATCTTTTGATTTTGCCGCTTCTCTTTACCACTTCCTGTTCCCTCTTCTGTTCTCGGTCGCATTTTATGTGTATTTTGTGTGCATTGAGCCGTGTCCAGGTGCAATTCGATTGCTGAACGCGCGGGAAACGAGCGTGGAGGCTCGAGCGGGGGCTCGACCTCGTTGTGTTCAAATCCAGATTGAAAGAAAACGAGGAAAGACACGGTCCACGTTGCTGGGAATCGGCGAATACTTTGAAAACGTGTGTATATGTACAAGAAACGATGCGTCTCGCCTCGCGATCACGAGACTTCCCTATCCCCTCTTTCCGGCTACACGGCCACTCCGTACTTTGGCGATTGCGACAAGCAACAACTTAACATCTAGACATCCTCATTTTTCTTTTAAGGGATCGATGCGGTATAAACGTGGGGAAAATTTTGCGATCGTAGAATATTTTTAAAAAACTATATAAAATGTTCATTTTGTACTTTGCACCTGTATATATTTCGTGCAAGAATGTACATGATACCTTTACTGATACTGTATGAAAGTTATACAATTCAGCTGGTTACTAAAATATTATAAAACAAAATTTGTCTTAAGTGTTAACTTCAAACGCCTCCATTTAAAAATTGACTCGTCTACTTCAAGATATTTTTATGCTTTGTCATCTGATAGTTTTGTTTTAGTTCAAAGTATCAGTATAGTCTATTAAAATAAATAAATTATTTTGCATGTTTTTTCTTTGTTTTTGACTTATGCAAGCAAGTCTTTTTTTGCTATCATGTATATAACAATTTGTGCATCATAGTAAAAGATTTATAACTACAGGTGCATTATATGAAATTCGTACTTGAAACAGGTTTGTTTAAAGAAATTACGAAAGCCGTTTGTAATTTTCACCACGTTTACTCCGCATTATACACATTAACGCTTATCCCGCTAAACACGCAACTTTTCGGTCGTTTCCTCGACGCTCCGAGAAAATCTGATTCCGTATCCTTATCGCTGTAGTCGGTAAAAAATAGTGATTAATATGAGCGTATATGTTGTCTCGATCATTTTAATACGAGTAGGTATCTATATTCATGTTTCTAATATACGTAACATGCGAATATTTGGCGTGACTTCGGGGATCGATGAGAAAGGGACGATCGATGGGAGGAAACGCGTTGTCGAGGATGTTCAAACGAAAAAGGGCGGAAGACTAATATTAAGTTAGTACATACAAAATTGTCGATTTTTTAATCTTCAAACGTGAGGATGCAAAAAAAAAATTTCAATATAAATACTTCGTTATCTGATTGTTTACAATAATCCTCGCGAAACATTAGAATCCTCTACTAAAATCTGTTTTTCTCTCAAGAAACATTAATTTATCCTAAAACGAAGATTCTATAAAAATCACCATAAAAAAAAAATAATCTCAAGATCGTTTCGATTAAACAATTGAAGTCTCCTTCGTATGCACCACCTTAATACGAAATCAACTCAGGGAATAAAGCCAAAGCAAATCAAATGAAAACGGCTGATCGTACAATTTATCCATGTCACAGATCGATTTCGCAGGTATAATGGAACGAAAGTTTAAAATTAATTCGCAAATCAGAATGAGTAGAGATTAGAGGGGTGCGATTACGTGTGCAGGGAGGAGGGTTTCCACCTCCCGCGACCATCGCTCTTAACGCTACGCTAACGTATGTACATCAGGGCGACCACGATCGCGAAGAATCTCTGCAAAAGAAAGAAAAACAGGGAGATAAACGTTACACCACGAGTCTACGGGGGAAATATTCGAACCGACGGAAGTGCATGATCGGTCTTTTCGAAAGAACTCGATCGAGCTAGGCGTCATCATTCATGCTTCGCGTTAAGTATCTCTTTCGAGAAAAAAAAAGAAGTTCCCTTTTCGTAGTGAATTCTTCCGCAGTCTTATACTTCCTATCATACGATCTGTCGACGAGTACGATTGATGATCTTATGATCGATCGTCACGCGAAAATGCACTTTCACTCTTCCCCCCCCCCCCCCCCCCCCACTCGGTGGCCCTCGAAACGTGGTAACATTTACTCGAAGTCAAAAGAACACGTGCGACGCTGCTCCTCTCTTTTCTCACCGCGTGGTTATTAACTGTTAATCGCAACAGGTCACGGCGTTGCGTCCGATTACACATCTCCGCGAGATTTCAGGAAGCTTTTTTAATTGGTCATGGTTGAATTAGACGCGAATGCACGATGAGAACTTTCCTCCCGTGTTTGTGTTACGTCGATATCGCTCGCGATCGCTCGTTCTCCTCTTCGACTCCCGCGTCGCCATGCTTCCGGCAACGATTTCTACGTTGATGTTGCTTTTTCTTTTTTTTTTTTGTTTTGTTATTTTAGACAGACACGATTATTTACTCGTCTTACGATTACAGGCAAAATTTGTGTCTCGCGTGTCCCTTCTTTATACATAAAAAAAAAAAAGAAAAACAAAAGGATATGATCAAAATGGTACGTCTAGATTAGAATAAAAGAACGAACGATCATGATCAGGTGGGCGCGATCGTTTTGAAGAAAAAAAAAAGAAGAAAATAAACGATCGACGCGGATGAGGGACGCGCATCTTTGGCGACCACCGTCGACCTTAGACAGGTGGCAGGGCCCATAGAGTCGCTGTCTTGTCAGCGGAGGTACTGAGAAACGAGAATTCCGACGGATGCCATCGGCCTGAGATTACTTTGTCCTGGTGTTGCGCGACCACCACGCTGGGCAACGGCATCGTTAGATCACCTGCGAAAATATGATCGATTATTGTTAACAGTAGAAGTTCATTACTTTTTCCGAGACATTAACGAAACGTTCGCTCAAAGTCAATGTTTTTCTACGCACAATCCATTGCGTTTACACGTTAATAAATGTAAGAACACTGTAATGGGGAAGGACTTTTTTAACGTCGGTAATATTACTGAATATAGTCATTAGGGGAAAGGTATCTAAAACGATCCTTTTAAGGCGTAATTTATATGAAAAATACAAATGCTCATTATGTAAATAAAAGTAAAGTATTTAAACCTATTCGGTTTGAGGTTCTGGAAAGATTTCTGTGCAAATAAAAATGAAAACTAACAATTCATATAAAACAGTCGTTGTTTTACGGGGATGAATAAATGTTCTACAGTAGCGCTGGTACTTTTACCACGCATTTAAATCATCCGAGTACAAATAGCATACATTCGATTATATGTATAGAAATTTTGTGGTATACGTGGTGCATGCAGAGTGTTAAACACAAAAAGCTCTAACACTTTAGGTGCTTATAGTACTCATTGAGTGAAATAAAAAATGTCTAAAATGTCCTAAAATCGATTCTTCTGATGAAAAATACAGAACTTTATTTTCAAATTTTCTTTACGTCATCCTTCCATTTCAATATAAAACACACCTGCGAACCAGAGATTGACATACATTTGCAAATATTCCGCCCGTATTTCGTATTGCCTGTTGTTGCACAATCTTGAATTTATGTACATACTCTTAAACCAATTCTTTTGTTTACAGTCAAGATGTCACGAAGTGATTCACTTACGACATCCAACGCACATAAATATTATGTTAGGATGCTTATTCTAGGTCCTACGTTAATTAGACATTTTTTAATCCTCTCAATAAGTACAACAAGCCTATAAAATCTTACACCCTTTTCCGTTGAACACCCTGTATTTGCCTATTATTTTACCTTCAGTCTAATAAAACCTTCACAAATGAAAACAAATTTCTATTTTATAAATTGTCTACAAATAAGTGTTCCAGTTCTATTTACGACCAACTATGTATCATAATTTTTAAAATTCTATTGTCATAGTCACTGGTTGAATGGCGTCGGGCGCAGTATCAAAGTCACCGAAGCTTACCCTGCAGATCCGTAAGAACGAGCTTGTTATCATATCCACCGGTGAGCAGGTAATACGCAGAGGGTGAGAAACGTATGCTCCTGATGTCAGCGGCGTGTGGTTTGAAGCACTGAACGGTCCTACCGCCCCTAATGTCGAACAGCACGCAGCTGCTGTCCTCGTGACCGGATACCAAAAGACGCCCGGACGGATCGACGCATAGCGCCGCCACCGGACTGCCGACCTGCAACGGGATCAGATGCTGATCAGACACGCGATACCGATCATGTTCCTGCGTGGATGCGTAGCACGTCCGATAAAGGTTCGATCCTGAGAGAAGTACTAGAGCGAGCAGAAAGACGTGGAGTATGTGTGACTCGTGAAAGGGAGGGATGATCGGTGCGCATTGTAAAAAAACGTGGGTCGAAGCTTTATCGGACGTCGAACTGAAAACGAAACTTAAAGAACGTAAATCGATGTCCTCGGTGCATGCTGGATGCGTTGTTCGTAGCGGAAATCCTTTCTACGTTTTAATGTTTTCAATATAAATGTGAATTTGTATTTAATTTTTAACTTGCGGATTTTTTAATTCGAATTTAAAGTTGAGTTTGAATTTGAATTTGAATTTGAGTTAGAATTTGAGTTGAATTTTAGTTTGAATTTGTTCTTTGAATTTTAATTTTGAGTAGAAAGAATTTTCGTAACTAGGGCCGATGACAGGAAGAAAGCGCTAATCGAGAATCGAATAAACTATTTACCTTCGGTCTAAAAGATTAACGTATTCTTTTCTCGATGAACGATGATAACTATCTGAAATGGGCCGGTTCATGGACTAGAAAGCAGTCCGTCCATCAGTCTCTTTTCATCATCTAACATATATTCTGGTTGAAATTATAATTATAAGAATTCTTCAGTGTGCAGACAATTGCCTGGCCTCAAGAATTATTCTACGAAAGTACGAGTATGTCATTCTAAATACTGAACAGGCCCGTTCTACAAGATTTTTAAAGTCAAATGGTACAAATTTATAGAACAAACATAAGAATTCGCATTGGAACATTAGATGCACTTTATAAACAAATTCATTTTAAACCAATCGTTTACTTTCAATTAATGAAAGATCGAGGCAATTAGAGTTGCTATGTAGCAAATATAGATTTTCGTTTTATTTACAATATTATATGTTAAAGAAAAATTCCTTGTTTATGACTAGACTGCGGATCTTTATGCAAATATCAATCGTCAAAAATTTATGTATGGAAACTAGAAACAATCAGAAATTTTGTACGGTGTCAATGGTTCTATCAAGTGTCACATGAAATAAAACAATTATTAGAATTGATTAAACTCCTTACTATACTGAATTTCAGATAACTGGATACGGTATAAATGCATAAAATCCGAAGTGTAGTAATGAATCAACGTTAAAGATGTAATCACGTCATAAGTATCCTCTCGGAAAAATTCCATAAAGATCGAAGAGTGCTCTAAACTTGCGAATAACAATGTACGTCGCATAGTATATATTTTAATATTCTAAACAATTTTAATATTTAATTGCTTCCAAAGTAAAATTTGTACCACTCAGCGACTAAGTCACCTACGTGGATCATTTGTAAAGTTCTCCGAATAAAGTATAGTTGACATTGGTAGTTCTGAAACTTTGTAGTTCATCGAAGATTTTGTTATACGAATAACTCTAACATATTAAATCAGTATACTACAGGGTATTTTCTATACAGCTATTTGAACAAAGTCTTTTTACGGTCGTGTCCTAATAATCGATCACAATCGAATTCGACAGCAAATTTCCCAAGCGTTCAGAACACTGATCTATAAAATTGGAATATCGTTCACCCAAATACATTGACATTTAAAGAGGACTATACTGAAAAATAGAAATACTTTACAAACAATAAAAAGGTGTCGTTCCACTCCACTCCAACAACTTTGCAAACGATCCTCGTATTCTGGTTTTCCAAAAATCATGACAGCATAGCGAAGGTAGCTAAACTAACCCTGCTGCCAGGTACAGTAGCCGGTGTGACCATGTTCACGCAGCCTCTCGTTCGAAGATCCCAAAATCTGACGGTTTTGTCCTGCGACCCACTGACGAACATCGCGCCGCCCCAATTGTAGAGGGTGAGCACGTGACCGCTGTGACCGCTCAGCGCCTGAAAGGGCGTACCTGTCGCGCAATCGGTTACGTAGATCTTGCAGTCACCTGCCCCGCCGCTGATCAACAGGCTTGATTTGTTCGAGGTGTCCTCGAGGAAGCACAGATCACGCACCGTGCCGTCGTGCATCGTCAGCTCGACTTCTTGACCTGGAAGAATCATAACAGGTTGAAAATATGAAAGTGTCGTGGCGCGAGAAAGTGTTTTTTTGAGAGTTTTGTTACGCAACAATTATATAAAATATCGTCGTGTTACATATACGGTAGATCGTTGAACGTTAATGACTGAAGTTTTTTTTTTTTTTTTTTTTGAACTGGAACGTGAGAACTTCATATTTGCGGGCCTGTCGGATCGCTGCGTTACGAAATGTTATTAATAGCCTTTCAAGGAAATCCTGTTAACTCGTTGATATAGATATTATTTGTCGGGGTGTGTACTATGTTGCTGGACGTTCTGTCGAGTCATGATTGCTTATTCATGGTTTATTTGTTGGAAGAAAGTCATAATGAACTTGACAGCTAATTCTAATATCCTTATATCTATGAAAATTGTATTAAAAAACATACATAGAATAATGTTTCGTAGATGGCCAAGTAAGATAGAAATCTAGATGACTTAAATCAATTGTTGGTATTAATTTTGTAAATTTAATGAAAAATTGAGATTTTAACGAATATCCCGATAGTTTAATTTATTGTTTACATGCAGAATCAGATTATAAGACTCTGGACGATAAATTCATTCCATTTACCTTCGAGGTTCGACGTGTCGGCATTGAAGCGCATCAGTTTGACAGTCTTGTCGTTGCTTCCGGTTGCCATCAGCTGTCCATCCGGTGTCCACGCGAGGCAGTATATCGAGCCTTTGTGGTGTTTCGTTCTCTTGAAGAGAACAGTCGGCTGATACGTCTGATGATCCTCTCTGTAAAAGATAAACGAACCAATCAAGATCACGGCGACGCTTGTCCACGATGTGTTTCTCTGTGTATTGGTTTTTTTCGTCGAAGCGACATGAACGGAGGCGCCTGTTCCATTTCACCGCGCAAGTATCGCTAAAACAACTAAAACGGAATCACGCAACGGCTTAACGAATCGGGCAATCGAGACATCGAATTGCTGGCCTGTTCGTGAATCGTTTCACTTTTCCTTGGCTTTCCATTTCGATACCACAGTTATCGAGGGGAAAATAAAAACAGATCGGAGATCTCTGTCGTCATTAATCATTGGATTAGAATATTTACTGGCACCTCCTCTTTTTTGTCTGTATAATAATTTTGCGGAATGTTGCACCAATAATACTGATTTATTATTATTATTGCATGGAAACAGATTTCCTTCTGAACGATTGGGGTATATGAAATCTTGCTTCTAAGTAATCAGAATATTGCAATGTAATAATTGATATGAATTCATAATTCAGATCTCACTGAAACTAGTGAAATGTAAGCTGCTAGTATTGTATAGCGATGTAGAATTATACGGACCAGAAATTACAATATTTACAAATTCCGACCAATGAACTGATCGTAAGTAACCTACACAAATAATTTCATAAGTACTCTAGGTTTTAAAGTGCTCAACTGTTATTAACCCTTTGAACTTCTTTGACGAGTGTGACTCGATTTCAATTTCATTCACTCCTATGTCAGGTCATACTCAACAGTTTTAGCAAACTTTCAATACTATAATATTAACAATACAATTACTGAAAAATATTTGTTTAAATTGGTTCCTATCAACCAACTATCTTCTGAAATACATTTAAAATAAAGCACCTAAAGTAATAGGGAGTTATCGGAAAGAAAATTTCAAAACAATTAAGAACGAGAAGGATTAACAGACCGCGGATGTTTATAAACTTATAGACATCCTAGACATTAATTCAATATAAAGGCTTTAACAAATTTGAATACTACTTATATGTTATTATTAACATAGTAAAGCTTCTGGTACCGACCTCAAAATTCTGCTGCAATTAACTTTTAGGTATTGGTATCGGAATTTCTGAATTTGCATAAACTACTGCAGTGCAATTATTAATTCGAACTTGGTCGAAATTTAAACTCGATCAACACAAACACGAATCGAGTTCAAAAAACTTCGATTACATATTTTCGACTTATTTTTTCAAAATCTATGTATCCCCAAAACTCGACTTCAAAAGCTACGAAATCGTTTCACCGAAGTCTCAGGCGAAATGTTAAAACAGAGGTCTTCGAGTTACGAGTTCCATTTACAATGACATAACACTTTGCCCTCGATTCGTTGAACAAACCCGTTTCGACGACATCGATTTCAGGCTCGCGCGAATTTCAATGGTTCTCATGCGTCACTTTCCATCAGCCTCGTTCTCTTCGGTCGTTCCCAGGTCCTCGACGCCTCGCGCCTCGTCTCTAATTAAACGCAGGAGGATGCAAGCGAGCGTTGGGGACCTGGTTTCGGCCGTGGAAACGAGGCAGAGGATCGTCGATACGATTTTAAGCGGAGAGCAACACCGCTTTCACGTCGGCTGTTCCTTTTTATGTCGATTTTAATTAGCCGCTAGTTTTCCCAGCCAAACATTGTGTATACTATAGCTACGTCGATTTAGAACCCTGAAGCACGATGCTACTTCACTTTCTTCCGTGAAAACGGGCGTGTATCGCGTGCTTGAAATTATTGGCCGGCCGCGATCACGAAAGAATCTTTGATTGCTTCATTAGAATCCTCAGCTTCACCTTCTCCCAGTCGCAAAACGATGCAACGACCGACGATTGAAACAGGGAAACCCTGGAATCGTAATATAATAAGAGCTACTATGAAAATAAACTGCGATCGGATGACTTTGTTTTATGTATTGTATCAGCCAAAGAAAAGCAGATGATTGGTTTGATGGGAGAAACTTTATCGTAATTACGTCGAATCGAAGCTATTAAATTGGTTACAGAGTAACAATTATATCGATCTGAAGAAATCATCGTCGTGAATATGTCGAAATACGAAATAGGTTACTTAAATAACTAGGTGCTCGTTCGTTAACCTAGCATTCCTTAGTCCTATTTATAGAATATTCGAAATTAATAGGTGGCAGGTATCATTTAAAACATTTTTTGTGATAAAATCAAGAGGTTGTTTTAGAAAGGAAATAATGCAGTTCTGAGTTAGGGAAATTACGTTTCAGTTATAATTATAGACCAACGCAGACTATATCACTGGATTCAATTTATTTGCTGACTACACTATACTAGTGACTAACTATTTATTTGTTAACCTCCTATAACCTTCTATAAAGAATATAAAGGAAACAACAATGATATTCGTACCTTAAACTAATTTTCGAAACGAGTACAGGATCTGAACTTAAATTTCCTGTGGTCAAATATTCTATTTCACGAAGGCTACTTGGTTTCAAGATGTACATCAATCAATTTGATTAATACTTGCTTGAAATGAACCAAAGACACAAATCACGACGACACGTTTAAATGCACACATTCGTAAAGACCTATGAGAAACTGATGTTTTCATTAACGTTGAAAATATCAAATAAAAAATTGAAAATTAAGTATAATGTAATATACAGTATCTCAGGCCGGCTAGTATAACCAGACAGGAGGTGATTCCACAAGAAAAAGTAAGTCGAAAGAAAAGAATACATTTTGAGAAAATTGAGTTTGAACAATCATCGTGTGTTCGTCTTGGTAATAAGTAGAAACGGTCAGCAATGGACAGACGCGTTATCCAAGTCCTATTCCAACAAAGTTTCAAGTTCGATTATTTCGAAAACATAGTTTTCGAAGAAATGTTATTCTTTTGCTTTTCGAATTATTCTTTCTCATAAAATCACCTACTGTCTGACCACACTATCACACTATCCGACCGGAGACACCCCATGTTTACCACATCATCTAATTGTGTACACATATAATAACGTTGGTAGTTCCTCGAAAGCGGACGACAGAAGAAAAGCTGCTGAGAGACACAGTGAAGAGAACTTGGCGACCATACGGTTCTGCGAAACGTTTCGCGACAAATGAAGATCCACGCTCTCGCTTATCAATCACCGGCTGTCATACGGCCCGCGCGTTTATCACGTTCCACACGGCCAATTTACACGGAAACAGAGTGAAGCGGCTATCGTTCTCGACGATGCGAGTGGACGAGAAGAAAGCTCGGACTCCTTGACGAATAGACTCGAAACAGCAGAAACGCGATGTGTCAAGAAACTCTAGAAACAGGAACTACGCGCCGAAAGAATATACTTAATCGTTAATTCTTCGAATTTGAGAACAACTTTTTTTTAAGGTGGAGGTGTTGATGACTCGAAACAGCTGAAATGTGGTGTGGAAGGTAATTCTAGAAACAGGAACTACGCGCAGAAAGAATACACTTAATGTTTAATTTTTCGAATTTGGAAAGCATTTTTTTTAAATAGAGGGGTTCATTATTCGAAATAACAGAAACACGATGTAGAACGAAGTTTGAGGAACAGAAACTACTCGCAGAAAGAATGTCGTCGAAGAAGTAATTGTCACACTGGGTCAATTTAACCCAAGCCAATATTCAATCAGTGGTTGTTTAAAAACTATTTGTTAAATTTAGTCGCAAACAATTCTGACATGAAGTTTGAACATTGTAGATTATACTCTCATGATTGAAAGTTGACATTGAATGTTTTATCATATTTAAAAAATTCTTGAAAAAAAATTCTGAACCAAATTTTCTTAGGGCACCTGAAGTTACTACTACATGGCGCCAGTAGTACAATTTTCAATGATCTCCCAAAGATACTTCAAAGTCAAATTCTGAGTCAACTTGACCCAGTGTGAAATCGGAGGAACAATTTAGTTTTCGAGTTTGGAAAACACTTTTTTGAAGGTGGAAGTTATAGTGACTCAAACCGAGATGTTTTAGAGTCGTAGTACTTACCCTAGTGACCACTAATTGGTGTCTATTAGTGACCAATAGTGAGTACTAGTTCGAATCAGGATAAACGTAAAGTTATCTAACGTTATCGATTAATCAAAGCAGAAAATCTTAACAAACAATCTTCACATTGCATGTCCATATTTTCTTTTTTCGAATGTGGAGAACCTTTTCTGAAGATGAATGGATTGATGACTCAACCACGATGTTTGGGAGCCCTTCTAGTGACCAATAGTGACTACTAGTTCGAATCAGGATAACCGTAAAGTTATCCAACGTTATCCATTAATCAAAGCAGAAAATCTTAACAAACACTTTTCACATTGCATGTCCATATTTTCTTTTTTCGAATATGGAGAACCTTTTCTGAAGATGAATGGATTGATGACTCAAACCAAGATGTTTGGGAGCCTTACTAGTGACCACTAATTTGTGTCCACTAGTGACCAATAGTGACTACTAGTTCGAATCAGGATAAACGTAAAGTTATCCAACGTTATCCATTAATCAATGCAGAAAATCTTAACGAACGACTTTCACGTTCCATGTTCGTGGTTTCAGTTTTCCTTACGTGATACTGATAACACTTCACACAGTGTTCCCGTGTCAATCCAGCCAACGAAGAAAAACGGATCGTTCCGGCGATCGAGTTCTTCGAGCTCGACATTAACCAGGTTCGTACACAAGACATTGCCTAGATAAGCGGTTCCCAACGTAATTGAGCGATCACTCGGCGATTTTAATGACCGAGTTTTGCACAAACCTTACGTCTGACGTCTAACGTAACCCGGCATTACGCCGTAAAAAATCATTTCCTGCCATTTTACAGCTGCGCGTAGTTGAAATTCACGTATCCTATTCACGTCCATTATGTTTCCATCAATCGAGGAAACGTGCGCACAATGGCGCATTTTACGAGCGATCGTACGCATAAATTTGAATTTTTTCTCGACACTTTTCGCAAGCTCGAGTTACACTTCACTTTTTTACCAGTGATACAGTGGGTAGTATTTTTTT